ATTGTTTCTTTAAATTTACCTTTGATTCAGAAAACCTATTGAACGTGTATATTTTATTAAGATTTTATGAATATATTTGTTACACTGGTGTTACACTCGACACTGTATCCGAACTGTCATACTTGTCATATGCTGTCATATGCTACACGTGTGCTACTGTCAAATATTTGAAGCTACACTGAACAAAACAAATGCGATTAGTGCAGAAATATTTTCGTTAACGCAGTAGACGCATTCCCGAGAAAGGAGACCGCAAACAATGGTCGACAGTGTTTTAATTGCAATAGAGCGATTTATGTGGCTACAACGTGCTTTTTGTATTCGCATGTTTTATAAAAACAATGATTCTTATATTATTATTTCTAAATAAATCATTATAACATAGCAATAATAAAAGATATCCCAAGTGCAAATTTAATTTCCAGTACTCTTAACTTTTTTAACCAATGTTTAATTAAATTTGCACTTGGGACATCTTTTATTCTTGCTATATAATTTCCTTACAAACGACGCACAAGAACAAAGGAATCATTGTTTTTATAAAACGTACGTTATAAAATATACGCTGTTGCCCCGAAAATCGCTCTATTGTAACTAAAACTTTTAACCACCGCTTACCTACTATAAGGCTGTGACTTTACACTAGCTTAAAACTGTCGACCACCGTTTTCCAACTGCTTCCTTTCTCGAAAATGTGTATATTGCACCAGCGGACGGACTAATAAACGAAAATATGAGACACCCTTTACGTTAACCATAAGGAGAATAACGCACAAGCCAAAAAATCTGGATTATCTTGCGATTAGGTGTTAATACAATTATTGTTATGTTTCTCAATACTCTTTTTCTTTATCTATATAATAGGCGTAAAAAATGTATAAAGATTCTTCAAATGTCTAGAGGTATAATTATTTACCAAAAAGTTAAACCATCCAATATTTAGTAACCTCTTTATTTTAATTTCTTGTTACTAATGCTGTAATTACCAATAATGTTTCCTTATTCAAGGCGCAAGAAGGGAACCAATCGCTGCTTCTTCCTACCCCAAAGTTCCATGGTAATTGATCCACGTGACAATCGACATGTTAATGATCACATTTTTTATTTATTCATCAAATACAAGTTACAAGTTAAAAAAGTAAAAAACATTTAAAATTCTCTTTGATCTAAGAAATAGTCGGAAGTAGTTATTATTTCAATTGAATTTGTGTTTCTTCAGGAATGTTAATTAGTTTTCAAAAAATAAGACAAAAGTGTTCGAATTGTGTAAAATGTTTTCCTTTTCTTTTGCTTTCTCTTTGTCAAATTATTTTTAATTAACTTACTCAACGAGCTGTGAGGTTAGATATTTAATTTATGAGTGTTGCTTTTGAATAAAAATGGGTTTTCATTCGTTACCTAATTAATTTCAAAATTATTAAACAGATATATATGTAACCAGTGGCGTAGATGTTGAGGGAGCTTTTAATATGGCCCATAAATATATAACATGTTATAATAAAATAAGTAATATATTATTTCAGCCACATAACATCTAGACTGCTATTCTTTCAGATTAAAATTGATAGTAGCTTGAAAATTGTTGGTACACATGCGCAATTCGCGTTGAAAACGTAAATAGTGTCTGTTTTTTAAATTGTACATTGTGACAAAAAATAGTGCTCAATGCTTAATGTATTGCAAAAATAGTAAAAATAAGAGAGTGTAAATGAGGAGTGACGGACTGTCACTGATAAAAAATAGTATATGTAACGAAATAGAATGAAGTAGAGATGACATACACACTATTTCGAGTGGCGGAAAAGTGTAATCAAAATGGCTACTTACAGTTGTACTTTTATTTATTTAACGTCAATAATTTTATATTTAAATATTGACGGAATGAAAATGTTTTTATATCATATGTACGTAAAAGTGTAATGCAAAGGTGGAGACACTTTTAGTATCGTCATAAAATCACATCTTTTTTCTATCTCAATGATATTCTGACGTTTATTTAATTTATTTATAACAATTTATCATTAAAAAAACCAAAAAATCTTGACAGCTGTGTGCACGTAGTTTAGATTCAAAAGGAAAAACTTGTATTTCGTGCAAAACTTTTTTATTAATCAATGCAAAGCGCTTTCGGCTTATTTGCCATCATCAGTGCTCATTGTCCACAACAAATTTATCTTTTCAGTCCAATACTTTATTTTAAACTGCTCGGTCGTCGACGAAATTGCGCTATTTATACAAAGCCTAGTCTGTACTCGTAGTTTCTAGACAGTCTCGAATGTCACCCGAATATTCCATCTCTATGACTTAACGGCCACGTATTGCTTTTTCTGGTAGATTCGTGAAGCGGCGCATTTGTCTCTATACGTCAGCAGTGTTTCGATCATGAGTCGGGTTGCATGCTTTAAGGTCGCGATCTACAGGGACGGCTTAGGCATTTCCATGACTCCTTCAGAAGTAGTTCCTCCTAGAAATAAAACTTAATGGTTGTATATGTAACTGCATCCTCTTTTACAATTTCCAGTTGCATGAAAGTAACAAGGGACAGACTTCACTAAACTCTGGAAGAATGGCATACCTAGAAGATTCCGCTTTCGACCATAAGTCAGTTTGCAGACTTCAAGGTTGCGCTCTAGACAGAATCGGCTCAGGAGTTCTCATGACATTAACCCCTCCTTAAGAAATGGTTCCTCTTGGAACTAAAACGAAATGGTTGTATCTGCAACAGGATCCTCTTTTACAACTTCCAGTTGCATGAAAGTAAAAAGGGACGGTCTTCGCTATAACCTGAACGATGGGAGAATGGCTGTAGACCAGTATTTTAACCTAAGTATCTTGGAAGATTACTTCCATCATGTTTCCAATGATCCTCCAATTCAGCTGTTTGCTCTGTATCTTTGGCATAGCTAGTTTCTATACATTGGACTTCAGTACATGCTTCCTCAGACTGAGTAATGCTTTCCATACATCATGATAGGTAAATCGATCTCAAAAAGTGTTATTTGTTACCAAATAGAAAAGATAACGCGATCCATCTTGAAGTTTCAATGCTTTTCCAGGGGCAGTCGACCAAACTTCTTCCGGAATGCAGATGCGATACCTCGAGCGTCGTAGATGTTGGAGAAAGTGCCATGGACCAGCGAGTAATCTTTAGGAACCGTGAGCAGGTCTTGTTGTTGCTCGGTTGTATCATTATGTCTTGCTTTTCCGGTACCTCCATATACACCCATACATTTTTCAAAGACAAGCTCAGGTGATTCTCGGAGCTGGTTTACTTCTTCTTCTGGTTGGTTAACTACCTTCAGTTTACCATTCGGGATCTTACTTATATGGTAAATTATATTACTAATTGTATTCTTGATGAGGTACGGACCTTCCCAAGACCTTTAAAGCTTCGGAGAATAACCCTTTTGTCTTTTTGGGTTGTGAAGAAAGACTTTTTCGCCTTTCTTGAAACATCCCTGTGTAGCTTGGGTATCGTACCGTTTCTTCATAATGTCGCTGGCGATTTGAAGATGCGAGCGGACCAATTCATGCATATCGTCCATTCTTCTTTGTAACTGGATTACATATTCTTCACCAGCTACATTTTCTGTAGGTCGGCATCCAAACTCGAGGTCGCACGGTAGTCTCATATCACGCCCAAACAGGACCTTTGCTGAGATTTTAAAATTAGGACTCTTTAGCAAGAAATTCGCTCGTACACAGTATCCGTTAACTAATTTTAATTAGACTCTCAAGCAGCATTTAGTACTTTTTTTTTAGTAATTATCTGCCTGTACACCCAAGCAGAACGTTTATTGGTGATTGTACATCTTCGTACGTAGACTTCTAGGATCGGAGGAGTCCCACAGACTCAACATCAGTAAATGTGTAACGTAATAGTTTTTTTATTAATTTTTAAAAAAATCTACTTTTTAAAAATAAAATAATTAGTTTTGGACAAGCCATCAGTGTTTTCCATATAATTTTGATTAATATCATAAATTAGATAGTGCTGGAGATGAAATGGGTTCCGATAACCACATTGTCATTGAATACGATACAGATTTTAAAGAATCAGATGAAGATCTAAACTACTGATAATTCAATGTCATAAGATGTTATATCATCTGATCTCTTAAGAATTAAAAAGAAAAATATTGATGAATTACGAACACTCACCAGTCAAATATTAAACGTTAAAAGTGTGTCTGGAAAAAGAGGAATAAAAACCTATTGTACGATTTTTAGTTTAAAACAATATAAGAGTGTTTACAGTTTAGTATAGTCATTTGAAGTGTTATCTTTATGGTTTTAAAGTTATAATTCTTTACCAACCTTTTTTATTTTCTAGTAACCTATGCTTGAAAATTTCAACATAATATATTTTATATTATTTTTTTACCGGTTTCATTTGGATTTCTGCAAAAAAAATGTAAACGTTTAGTCCTAAATAAATAGATATTTATTGTTCTGCTTAATTTTTATTTATGTTATTGTATTGTCTTTGTTAAAGCCATTAAATTGCCGAAGTCTGGTAAACTCCACCTCAGTAGTTACGGACAAAAAGTCGCTTCGGGTTAACATCAGCTGTAGAGATATTCAACCAGCAAAAATGGTAACGCCATCTACACTTAAGAAACAAAATCAAAGCTAGCCGCGGTAAATAGTCCTCTAGAACAAGACCGAATAATAACCAGATGGGCACTTACCTACTGAAGTGAAAATATTCAAATTCTCAAATTTTTAAATTGGTCACATTTGAGAATTGGAATATTTTTTCATCAAACCTTGTTTATTTATGAATGCTTGGAAAAAGATTGCATCGACCCACTGACGCTGTAGAGAGAAAGTCAAAATTTACTTTCTGCGCATGTCGTCATCTATAAGGGCTACTTTTCTTTAATAAAATGTATATTTTCACTAATTTCATTAATTTTTACTAGATTTTACAATTTTTTTAATGTGGAGTTGATAAATAAAAATCATACATCTCTTTAAAGCATTATTTTTTTACTTACCGAAAGGTAGTTCAAATCGACAATCTAGAAGTAGAGAATGTCCTGTTGGCATCTTAGTGCCAATTACTTCTCCTTCTCGCATCACAAGCTCTGCTTCTAGAGAACACCATTGACCATTTCCTTCCTATATATTACAAAAATCAAAATTCAATTATTTAATTACATAGTACGTTTCAGAATTACAGGGTGATTCTAAAAATGAGCAAAAAAGACTTTGCAAAATTGTTTTATGGGAGAAATTCATTAGAATTAAAAACAAAACTTTAAAAATGATCGGAATGAAGATGACTTTTAAACTTTTTGGATATCATTGTGGAGACAATATATACTGAATATGGCGTTATGCTAAAAGCGCTTTGCATTTTAAATAAAACAATTTGGCACGAAGTACAAGTCTTTTTTGCTAATCTAAGCTACTTTCACACAGCTGTTAATCTCTTTTGGTACCTTTCATTATTTTAAAAAGTCTAGCAACATTGAAGTCCGTTACTTTAATTATAAACCCTATATATTTTTACATCTTCTATTTACGTATTCTAATGTCCTGTCAAAAAAAATCCAATATGGTTGCCCGTAGGAACACAAACTTTTGTTTACATATTTAGTTGTCGAATTAATTGTTGCTTTGATACAAAAATATTGTTTAGTGTATAATGTTAATATTAGTTTTATTCTAATTTTAACTTTTTAACTACAGTTGCTTGTTTTATTAGAAGACATTGGAAATATGGTACTAGAAATAAAACGGATAAAATGGTATGCAATAAAAAGAAAATACATTACATTCGACTAATTTATGATTAATATGTTTTAGTGAAGTATTCATAAAATGCCAATGACATGCAAAGTTGTAAATTTTTGCAGAAAATGTGATTGAGATTTGCATCACCAAAAAAAATTCTACATGCAACCCATTTAAACAATTTATCAGCTGAAATAAGATAATATCGGTAACATGTAGTTGAACTAGATAATTTGACGAATAGCAAAATCAAAATTATGAGAATGTTGCAAGCATCTTTAGCATGTAACATAAAATAATTTTGTGGCATTATTTATTAATAATTGTGTATTTTGGATAAGGTATTGAAGGAGAATAAAGATTTAAAAAATGTAAACATCAATTTAATTTCTTATAAAATCTCATTTACTGGATGTAGCATCAAATAAGACCCTAAAAATTTGACATTGTAGGAATAGTTGGATAAGAAAGGGATCAAAATTTGATAGTGTTTTGCTAGTGCCAGCGCCTAGATTGCTGCTCCAAAATGAAGAAGACGAATATATTATTTTCCTATTTTTTTGTCAAATAAAAAAAATGTAATTAGACTGAACATAGAAGGATTAGTAGCAAGATTTAAAAAATGTTTTTTAAAGATTTAATCAGGTAAGTTTTCTTTTGCTATTTTTCTTTATCCTAAGTTATCAAAATTATTGATAGTGATATTGAATTGTTTGAACCTAAGCTTTGAAAGTAAATTATAAATTTCATTTTTGGTTACAAATTTTATTTTTTTGAGCTAGCTTTTCTGCAAGTCTATTTCAGTGAAGTAGAGAGGGTAGAATGATATGATAAGGTACCGTCTGCACATCCATGACAAGTGTAGAAATTATGCACGATTCAACCTTCCACTCTTACTCACGTAAATGACAAGGAGAGGTTGCCCTAAAGCACAGTAAACAAATTCCAGGCTTGACTTTTTCATCTATTAGGTTTGTTCGGGTTTCTTTAAAACTTGATGCAAACCGTCCGAGAACCAGTGGAACAGTTGAATTCCAAATTATTCATCGCATGCTACTATTAAACTGTCCACTGCTCAACTAGTCCTCTGATAGTTCTTAATGTATTTTTAAAAAACCCGAACAGACCTACCATGATCATGTTCAGCTTTGTTTTTTGTTTGTGTTGTAGCTGTTGTAAGCTTTTTTTTTTGGCGTCGGCTCTTTATTGGCTCGCTTATATTTGTGATTTGTAATTGTTGTACAGAATATTCTTAAACTGTCCTTGAATCTTATTTACAAAATGTGCAAAACGAAATAGTGTCTATACTTTTTCATTGACAGTTATCATTCTACCCCTCTCTACTTCATAGGCCTATTTACATTATCCATATCAAAAAATTGGTATTACATTTCATATCAATATGTACAGGGTGATTCTTAAGTAATTGTACATAGACGTATAGTAGATCAAAATATTACAATTTGAGCCAACGGGCCTCAGTAAAATACACGATACACAGAATAACGGTATGTTCCTGCGCATGCAGCTGACTGACGGTGACGTCACGTGGGACAGAATTATAAGCATTAAAGGGGAGATAATGTTTAAAATTTGATATTTTGACAATTTTAGATTTTATGCAGTTACTTTAAGCTTTATTGGTTATTTTGTAATATATTCGTTTACAAATATGAAGGTTTAAGGTAAATAATACTAATAAACATATTATTTTTTCTCCTTAATTATAGGTATTTTATGACAAAATCCATAACCTGGCCATAATATAAGTAAAAGATATAGAATAAAAATACAAGTTTGACTCAAATTTGTACTGTCTGGGCGTGGTAGTTCTCTTGTAATCTCTTTTCTTATTGTGTGAAATAAAAATAAGTGTGTAGAAACAAATTAATTATATAATAAAAAGTAAGTACATAAAAAAATTACTTTTTATTTGGTCTTATATATGTTTGTGTCCTGCTCATGCATGGCATTACTTCAAAAGGACCGTTGTATTGGGACAAGAAAATACTGTTTTATCTGCTAAAATTTTTAAATACCGATTTATTTTCTTTGCTTAATCAGGCCCGTGCACCTGGTATAGAGAAAGTAAAAGTTAAAAAGTCTTTTGGTAGGTAGAGAGGGGGTAAACGCCAAACCACGTCTCCGAGAATTTCACAGTAATGTTTACCTGCCAGTGTCGTTTCATAGAATAAGTAATTTTAAATTATTATCGGCGGAACCAGACAATCGCATGTATTTATGGATTATAAATAATTATTAAACATGTATTATAATATATAAATTATAATTTTACAAAATTTTAACAGCTATTCACAATTTATTAAACTATTTACTCGAAATTGTTATTAACATCTATAAAATAATTTTGTACGCCAATGTATCGCGTCCACTTCGGTGAGATCCGCTGCCAACCTGTCAATTTATGTGTGTAAAGTGGGAGAACTGGCAAAAGCATTTCCAACTTTTACTTCTGTTCTAAAATTCAGTTTCCTTTTCTTGCGTCTATGTTTAAGAGGAATCTCACAACTACTTTTCTCAAAGTGGATAGGGCAACTTCAATTAAGTTTCTCCTTTCTTCGATAAGAATTTACTCATATTTTGTGGCATTTGGAAATATCTTCACCGCGCAGCCCGGCATTTTAAAAATTAATTTAGTTCTTCCCTGTTATATATAGGAAAATATAGTCACTACTAATACAGAAACAAATAAATTATTAAATTATTTTATACTATTCAATCGAAAAGTGTCAAAATAAATTAAAAGCGCAGATTGAAAGTCAGCATAACATTAGTATGTGTATCGTGAGTAAAATATTCATAACAAGAGATATAGGGCATTAAAGGTGACATTTTTAAATTTATTTTTTCTAATAACTATCGTTTTTGGGAATTCATAAAAAAATTTAAATTAATGGTTTTTGGGTAAGACAAATTATAATATCGTATTAACATCGATCTATTTTATAGGAGTCATCTCATATGCGTTAAACATTTTTTGGCATTATGTTTATTCGAAAATATTAAAGATACGTCAATTTTATATAAAAAGTTATGCTTGTTATTAATCCCAAAAATTAAAATTTTTCGAAATAATCGCATATAGAAATCGGCTCAACAATTCTCATGTAATTTATTATGTAAATATTAAAGTAGTAAGCGTCTTTGATAATATTTTTACAGCAACTCGGTGATATATATTTTTTTCGTTTTATGACTTTATACCTAATATACCAGTCTCAGTTTGATTTTTATTCATAGGATTCTGTTGGTTTTGTTACTGTTTCCCAGCGTCACTTCAGGAACAGCATTGTTAATTAGAACCCAACAGTAATCATAACACTTCTGTCCAAACTCGTAATATTATATTTCGGCATCTTCTGCTTTTCATTAATAATTAATTAATAACATTAATAAATAAAATCTATGACATAAAACATAAATTATTTTAACAAGAACGTTTAGCTGTCAAAATAATGCTTAACGTCCGCCTATTACGCAAATATTTCCAAGCTCTAAATGTCAAAATAAATTAAATGATAATTATAAGCTGATTTATAAAATGTGATTATATCGAAAACTATTAACTTTTGGAGTTGATAATAATCTGATGGTAATATATTATCGTAACTAATGCTATACAACTTGTCTCTAATAAATATCTCAGGGCGGTACGGCAATCCGAAAAGTGGTGCGATCCCTTTCACTTCAATAAACGACGGAGTGAGTTATACCCCCACCATCGATACATACATAAAATAAAAATCAATCAAACAAACTGGTGTACTAACCAGGTCGCTTGGTGTATTAATAAAAGGATGCTTTCAAAATTCGAACAATTAACTTTATTTTCTTTTTACAAGACCAAAAGACAAAAAGCGAGGCTTGCAAACTAGCACCTGATATTAACAAGGCCAATTGCCAACCTCCATCTTGACAGAATAACTTGGCATCATAGTCCATTTCTTGCGATACCGCAATTGGCATATTCCAAATCTCTTCCCTGATGATAGATTTATCTATCATCACTTCCCCGTGCCATTTTGCTTGGAAACCTGAACTCCATATATACTATGTTCGGAAAACACGACTCAAATCCAAATGATATTCGTATAACTAATCTGCTCATCGTCTACTCCATTTTCAGAGCTTTAAACCGACTTCCGGCTTTTGCATTTCGCCTAGCATCATCTATTATGGACAGAATCCTGTACTGAACTAAGGGCTGAAAAATGCTTCATCGGAGAGAGAAATACTTCGCTTCAACAAGAGCTACGATATACACCCTCTCAAACCTAAAAAAAAAAAAGATTCGCCACTACTTCATTCCACAGCACCTCTTGTTCAATCCCCGACAAGACAGCGATTCTCTGGTAAATAAAGTTTATATGACCATTACTCTCTCCGTCGAAACTTTACCCTTATTACTTCCGTATACTGTCCGTATACTGTCATTGAAACCAAATTAAACCATCTCAACGCTCTAATCAGGCTCCAAATAAACTTACACAAACAACAATAATGAATCGATAACACCTCTAAATTGGATCATAGAAATAATTCCAAATTTTGGGACAAATTCCGAATTCACTGTTTAAAAATCCAAGACACATTCCCACATCGAAGTCGACGGCGGAATACACACAACTCCGGCGATAAAGCCTTAGAACACAAGACAAACCTTGAAGCCATAATCAGAACCCCCGGTAATCCCTAGTTTGACAACGTCCATCAGACACTTGACTGCTTCAGTCCCATCGATGGATGTTGAAAACCCTCTCACATCTCATTAACCCTCCAAGACATCCAATTTGATTCCATTTACAGAAGAATGCTGAAACATCTTCCTGAAACAATGTGTTATCCATCCTTACCCTATTCCTGAATATCCGCCTCTTCTTTTTCAATTTTTAACTTGCATGAAAATCCGCTAACGCCATTTTAATTTCCAAACCAGGCAATGATCCCAAATCCTTAGACTCATACCCTCCTATCTCCCTTATATCAGTTCTAGGTAATCTCTTTGAATTTCTGAACAAGGAAAGAATCTTGGACTTTTGTGAAAAGCGAAACATAATTCCACAATCCCAACACGGTTTCAGATCTCATCACTCGGCTCAAGATGCAATCTCCTTACTTCATACTACTGCGGTCACATCAGTTAACTCTCTCTTCATGTTCAAAAAACTTTTGACCAAGCCTGGCATGCTGGGCTAGTAAAAAAGCTTATAAACATACATATCTAAAAACTTATGCACTCATACCTTACTGAAAGAACAATAACAGAACAATGTTCTGTCAGACTTATTTATCCCACTTGTTGGAGTACCACAAGGCTCCGTTCTGTCCCCTCTCTTAGACCTCATACAGTGTCGACTATCGAACGTTCTTTAATACGCTTTGCCTAAATGCAACTAAAAACTACGGAGAGTTACCATTAGGTCGAGCAAAAAACAAATAATATTAACGTAGCAAGCTAGCAATGTGTTTGTAGGCCTGTTCACATTACACATCGCGCAAGACAACTTTGATATTATTCGTTTTCTGCTCGCACTAATGCTAATTTTTTGTCGTTTTTGTTTCGACATAAGTATATTGGAAAGTATTCAATAGCCATTAACAAAAAGGTTTAATGTATATGTACGCCACAATTGTTGTGGTCCCACTATAAAATAGATCGATATAAACCAGAAATTATAATTTTTCATACTCAAAAACTACAAATTTTCTAATTTTTACTATAAATATCCGAAAACGTATTAAAAAAAATTAAAATTTCATCTTTAACATCCTATATATGTCTTATTTCTTATTAACAATGTTTTATTAAGGTAAGTTAGTTTAAATCGTAATATTTTGAAGCCAAAAATCTACTATACTTCTATGTATAATAACTTAAGAATCACCCTGTATATTACCCAATCAAGTCGTATTTCACAAAAACAAAATCAAACACACATCAACTCAATGTTAATTTATTATTTGTTTGTCTACGAGCAACCATTTTAACTCACAAAAGGTCACGTGATTTTGAAGGTCTAATTGAACTAATTTCAAGGCCCTACAATGTGTGGCCTAACCATGTTCCGCAAAAAGTTTGAACTTATTAATCGACAAATAAATTTTTGAAGGATTAGGGGAAGTTTTAAATAGACTTTAAGTACACTGATACCCCGGTCAATTACTACCAAAAGATAACGAAGATACCGGTTTATTTCATTATAAAATCAGTGACAACCTGTACAGGACCATTATGCAAATAAAGTTTCAAAATAAAAGATTTTATATTCTAATTCTTGAGCATAAATATACCTTAATCCCTGGAATGGTATGTGACTTATGAAACACTCGTATCCCCTAGGGATATCAAGTACAAGAAAATTCAGATTATATTAAACTGAATATTTGAACTGTACCTCGTAAATTCGCCTGGAATTGCTTTGTTTCGACGACATACAAAGAGAAATTCATCATACGATATCTGACACAAAGAACCATGACTAATGGTCGAAGTGCATGTTTCAACTTGTCACCGTGTCGCAAAAGGCAATATAAGTGAACGCTTTTTTAAAAATAGTTCTTCGTAAACAGTAAGACAACTATTTGGAAGGACATTTTTGTTAATTATTTCCTTTTTGTTATATGTATATAAGAGACGCGAACAGATCGTTTCTTTTGTGGTAGGCATCGTGTGCTTTCAAGTCTTTCAATATTTTTCATCTCATTTCATGTTTACTTTATAATACTAACAATATAACAGAAAAGGAATATTTAAAGATGCAAATCGTCAATACACTCGTCAGAGTTTACACCATATTTCAGTAGATGATTTTCAGTAGTTCTATTGCGCCCTCCTTGTCAAAAAGGCGATCATACGACTCAAGAATACGAGTCTTGGAGTCAATGAAATTGTTGTTTCTAGTATTTTTTTTCTTTTTTCGTTTGAAATGCAAACCATAAGAAAAAATACCCAAGGCTAGTATAACTCACAAAAGTACACTAAATTATTTGTAAAAATAAATATAAATTAATATAAATTCAATTACCTCGTTTGAGTACTGAATTGTTTGCAGTGGTATCCAATGGTATCCAATGGCTCTATCCCAGATCATTCCCTTACTCCAGACTTCAATGAGAAGACCAGTATCCAAGTTATTGGTCTCACTGAAAATAACGTTAAAATTTTAGTGTAGTGTAATGAAAACAATTTATAATATATTTTACTGATGTTTTACGAGGGATAAATAAATTTTACATATTTGTACACCTTATTGTTTTACGTAAATCATTTCTGTAATACTAAGATCGACATATTATGCAAGAGGTTACACCGTACACCAATTTTACGGATTATTTTTTATTTTTACTACAAGAAAAATTATGTTAAGTATGGGTAAAGGCTCAACCGTACTCGTCTGTAGTCACTTTTTGAAAATTTAAATCGGTTTATTTTGAAAAAAAAATCTAAAAAGATGTGTTTTTAATGAAACGAAATACAAATAAAAATGCTAGAAGGGAACAATATTAATTTTAACTTACAGAAGCATTTATTTTCCTTACAATAAAAAAATACGTTATAGTATATTACATTAAGAGTGTGGAAAGTGACATTTTTCACACGAGTGGGAAACATTGTCGCACGAAGCACAAGCCGAGTGCGAATATCAAACGAGTGTGGAAAATCACTTTTCACGCAAGTGATGTACAATATTTTTCCTACGACCACAAAATAATTTCATCAAAAAATGTAAAACCAGGTTGTTATTATTATAATAATTAAAATGTATTTAAAAAAATAATCAACAATAATCGTATTTATTCAATTTTCATATTTTCTAAACAAAAAATAAAACTAAAAAAAAAATTAAAAAAAATCTGCTCCCGCAAGGATTTGAACGCGGTCTCAAATGGCAAAATTGATACAGTTTGATGCTCTAACCATCTGAGCTAATAGGCCTTTTGTCAATTGAAGGATCTAATCGGTTATGTATTTAACCAAAATAAAAAGCAAACATAACTTGGTTATTTTAAAATTATTTTAATAAAGATAAATATCTAGGATCTAATTTACAACAATTTCAATAATTTAACAATCATATCGATTTTAGTATTAATATGGACATTACATAGATCAAAATAGAAATGACGCGTTTGACATTTTGTGACAGCTGATGCGGAAAGTAGTATATTCGTACACGGGTGAAAAATAAATTCTTATTCATATGCGTGTGATATAGGGCACTTTCCATAGGACTATATAGTGTGATATGTGACACTTTCCTAAGTGGTCGTAGAAAAAAATCTTTTAAACTAAATATAATTTTAAAACTAACATGTGTAACCATGTATACTAATATAACAAATAAATTTATAACATTTATTGACAATTATTTCCATAATAGAAAATATTTTTAACTAATATTTATTTAATTATTGTTTATAATACTATCAGCGGAACTAACATTTTTCAAAGGTCTGTTGTAAAATCTGAGAAAGATGTTGAACTTTCAGACCATCCTGCAGTAGACCTAATCGTTTCAATATTCGTACCCGATCTACAGGGTGTTTGTAAAAGGTCTTTACAAAAACATACCACATGTTCCTTAGACCAAAATAAGTCGATTTAAGTAAAATTACCTTAGTACAAAGTTGCTTCGTTTGGGCTCCAGAGGGCCTTGAAGTTACAATTTTTAAATCGTTTTTCCCATATAAATTTAAAACAGCATATGCGATTTTGCTGAAATTTAGTATATCGGTAGAGTTTTATGTGGCAAAAAAATGGTATTAAAATTTTGTCCGATAATAATACATAGGCGTAGTACTTGATTTTTTAAATAATTGCACCTTTAAAAATTCTACGCCAATGGAAGAAAAGGGAGTTTGAGTATAAAATTTAGATTGCGCAACTTATTTACTTTAAAAAAGGTACTCTTGATAAGACTCGATTACTCTCATGATTTTCGCTAAATTTCTATTTTAATAATTTAGAGTGTATATGTTTCACAAAAATATTTATTTACAACATAATCAAAATAGAGATTTTACAAAAATTGTTTAAAATGTTCACTATTTTCACGCATACAAAGATTTATACGTCGAAGAAAATTAAAATGTATCTTTTCCATAACTTCTTCATCACCTCTACGATTGTTTATTGCATTTTGAATACGTTGCCAGAGTTGTTCCTCATTTTCTACAGGTTTCCTGTAAACTGTGGATTTCAGATGTCCCCATAAAAAGTAATCCATCGGTGTTAGGTCTGGGGAACGTGGTGGCCAGTTTACAGGTGCGTCATTACCTCTGCCTATCCATTTGTGTGGATATTGTTCATTCAAGTGGTTTTTAACGTTTAAAGAAAAATGTGGTGGAGCTCCATCTTGCATAAACCACATATCTCTCTGAAGTTGGAGAGGTAAATCTTCTAACAATTCGGCAACGTATTTTGTAGAAAATCCAAATAATTTTCTCCAGTTAATCTTCGTGGAAGTATGACAGGACCAACAATGAAATTACCAATTATTCCGGCCCACACATTAATTTTGAATTCGTGCTGAAAATGGTTTACCTTTATTGCATGCGGATTTTCAACAACATAAACATGTTCGTTATGGCTATTAGTTATACCTCTTCTTGTAAAACCCGCTTCATCGGTAAAGAGAACCTTCTTGACAAAGTTTGGATCTCTTTCTCTTTGCATATTAACAAATCGACAAACACCCAAACAAATTTGAGGATCATGGACTAATAATTCTTGTACTGGCTTCTTATGGTATGGATATAGCAATTGTTCTCTAAGCACTTTATGAACGACATCTTTACTTACTCCTAGTTCCCTTCCAATTCGTCTGGTGCTTAATTCTGGATCTTTTTCAACACGTTCTAAAATGTCTTCTTCAACTTCAGGAATCCTTACAAAACGTTCTCTTCCATTATGAACAGTGTTGGGAGCAAAGGAACCGGTCTCCCGAAGACGTCTCTCAACAGCAGCAAAAGTTGGGTGGCTAGGTACGCGACGATTTGGAAACCTTTCAGAGTACACCCTGATACTCTCTCGAGCATTTCCTTTACAAAATCCTAATGTCAGTAACATATCGGTATATTCTGCATTGGTATATTGTACAGCCATATTAATAAACCACGCATTTGTTTTTTTAATTAGTGAGTCAGATAGAACACTTTCAATCGTTAACAAGAGATTAGGTGTTAAAACTTGACAATATTTTTATTTAGATGAAACTATGGAAACCAACAATAAATGTTTTTGTATACGTATTGTAGGCAAATAATTAATATTCCTCAAAAAATCGTACATGGCAAGAATCGAGTATTTTTGTTACAAGTCTCGATTAGAGGTGTTGAAAAGAATATGAAAAAATTACATTTTTAAGTTTTTCATCGTATAAAATTTTGTCCGATAATAATACATAGGCGTAGAACTTGATTTTTTAAATAATTGCACCTTTAAAAATACTACGCCAATGGCAAAAAGGGGTTTGAGTATGAAATTTGGATTGGGTACTCATTTACTACAAAAAAGTACCCTTGATAACACTTGATTTACTCTCATGGTTTTGACAAAGTTTGTATTTTAATAATTATTGTTTATGTTCTAAAATTACTAAAATGCAAATTTCGTCAAAACCATGAGAGTAATCGAGTCTTATCAAGAGTACCTTTTTTAAAGTAAATGAGTTGCGCAATCTAAATTTCATACTCAAACTCCTTTTCTTCCATTGGCGTAGAATTTTTAAAGGTGCAATTATTTAAAAAATCAAGTTCTACGCCTATGTATTATTATCGGACAAAATTTTAATACCTTTTTTTTTGCCACATAAAACTCTACCAATATACCAAATTTCAGCAAAATCGCATATGCCGTTTTAAATTTATATGGGAAAAGCGATTTATAAATTGGAACTTCAAGGCCCTCTGGAGCCAGAACGAAGCAACTTTGTACTTAAGTAATTTTACTTAAATCGACTTATTTTGGTCTAAGGAATATGTGACCTTATACAGACACCCTGTATAAGCTGCAGATACTATCTGCGTGAAGTTGGCCCTACCATGTTATGATAATTACACCAAAGTTGTACCAATATTTTGCAACTAATTTGCAACTTTAGGCAACCGGTATAAAAAAATTTGCAACCTCACATTTTTGTTCTAATCGCTAAAACAAAATTGGTGGGGCCAAATTTACGCAGCCCCACCACATCGTCGTATTGACCTCGAACCTTTTTCACAATTTAGCAACTAATTTGTCACTTTAGGCAACCTTCGTGAAAAAATTTGCAACCTCGTTGTTATGCCAGAAACGAATTCCTAAGTTGGTGGGGCCAAATTCATGCGGCCCCACCACATCGTCGTAGTGACCTCGAATTTTTTTCATAATTTAGCAACTAATTTGCAACTTTAGGCAACCTTTGTGAAAAAATTTGCAACCTTGTGGTTACGCCGGAAGCGAATTCCTAAGTTGTTGGGGCTTAATTCACGCGGCCCCGCCACATCGTCGTATTACCCTCGAACTTTTTTTATAATTTAGCAACTAATATGCAACTTTAGCCAACCTTCGTGAAAAAAATTCCAACCTCGTGGTTACGCCGGAAACGACTCCCTAAGTTGATGGGGCCAAATTCACGCAGCCCCACCACATCGTCGTATTGACCTCGAACCTTTTTCATAATTTAGCAACCAATTTGCAACTTTAGACAACCTTCGTGAAAACATTTGAAACCTCGTGGTTGGAAGGGGGGGCCAAATTCACGCGGCCCCACCACATCGTCGTATAGACCTCGAATTTTTTGGGGCCAACATTTTTGCGTCTGACACGCCAATCATTATTAAACAAAACAAAACATTGTTATTAAAAATAATTATTATTCGTTTTTAGATATTTATTTTATGGCATTGTTTCATATGGATTCGACCATTATGTAGCTATTATAAGAAGAAAACAGGGAAATTGGGAACTACACAATGACCTACAAAAAAAATTTCCAAATCAAAACAAGGTCACAACAAGGTCAACCCACATTTAGTGGTTTATATAAAACAGTAGTTTCCTAATATGCATTTTTTATTTCAACGTTTTTCAAGAAAACTTTTATTTTTAACTAGAATGTCCTTTTTAATTATTGCACAATTTTAAAACAACTTGTAAGTCA